AGAAGATTCCATCGAGCCCCTCTGCATAAGAAATTATGCAGAGATCACCTTGACAGGAAACAAAAATTAGTAAATCAATTTGGAATCATTTTAACTTAAATACTAAATGTCAAAATTTCTATCAGACAATTCCCTCGCAACTTCTTTGTAACTCCTCTGAGGATAGAGARTAGAGAAATGATAGCAACTTTCTGCCCTTGGCCTCTCTGTTCTTCACTTAGTCCCGTGGAAACTCCYAGTTGGGATACACAATTCAGGTCTGAGTTACCCAAGCTGAGGAGCCACAGTCTGATCACATGACTCAGGCCTGCTCTGACATCCAAGCATGTGCCAGCCTTTTGGGTGGAGTGTTTTCTGTCCCCTGCAGTCCAGGAGACTTTGRAACTGAGCGTGAAGGTCATCTGTGTTAGTTTGGCCCAGGCTGTGGCACAGGTGATCTRGTCAGTCATGACTGTAGGTGTTGCTGTGAGGGTGTTGTACAGATGTGACATTCAGCCTCCGGGACAGGGTAGAAAACTTAGTTGGGAAACTGAGGTTTCCCAGGGAAGGAACTCTGCATCCAGACTGCAGTGCCCGTTCCTGCCTGGTGGGTCCAGCCTGCCAGCCTACCTACAGCCTTAGACTTTGCCAACCCCCACAGTCACAGGAGCCAGTTCCTGGAACTAAATYTCTGAATACATRTATCTTGTTGGTTCTGTTTCCCTGRAGAAGCTGAAGGATCATCAAAGCTAAATCTCTCTGGAAGCCCAGAGACAGAGCAAACCTGAACACAATTCTCAGCTTCCTCTGGTTCTTTTTGAGGACAGGAAAGGGTAATGTATTGTGAAGATGCAACTTCAGTGAGGGAGGGCAAGCAAAGAAAACAGTACTTCATAGGTGTCAGCTCATCTGCAATGTGGATGGTATGAAATCAAGACACTGCCCCACCACCATGCTGCCCCTGGATCCCCTTGAAGATGGTCTCCAGGGGAGCAGTCAGGCAGGCTCCAGGGGGCATCAGAGGAAAGAGAAGACCGTGTGGAGTGAGCTGCAGGAAGGGGGTGGAGGAAGGTTGGGGCTGAGAGTCCTAAACTCAGGAAGTTCTAAGGGACCTTGGTCTTGGGCTCTTCTCCACCCCTAACTGGGAAAACCAAGACTTCCCAGACTGCAGACAGCAGGGCTCCAAAGAGTGACAGTAGATTCTTCACTGTGGTTCCCAGGCTCAAGGAGGGGTAGCCCTGTGCCCACTGCTCCTGGGTCCCTCTGGGTGTCAAGCAGAGCTACTTACATAATTCACATGACATGTTTGGTCAAGTGACTGGTAGCAGGCCATTTCCTCCAAAGGTGAGAAACTTCTGTCACTGCTCTCCCAGAATCCAGCCTGTGCAGAAAGAGAAGTAAAAACAGGTGTAAAGATGTCCAAGTTTTTCTCCTTTCCTCATTTGTTTGTTTGTTTTTAAGGCTTCCCCCCCWCGCTCCCGTCACAGTGTTGCTTCTGGGGTCGGAACTGTCACACCTCCAGCCAATGTGACTGTCACCATTTCCTCACTGCACCCTTCCCCAACTATGTCCCCTACAGAGAATCGTGCCCAGGACACTGCCAGCCTGGATATCCCTATCACCCACAGCAGCATTCTTGGCCAGTCATCAGCCTGTTCACTCATTTTCTCCTCAGTCCTTTGATTCATTCATTTGAAACTGTTGTTCTTAAACACSGCTCCTGAGCAGACATTTCTTGCCCTGGGAGGATGGTCAGATGAGTTTGAAGGACAGCTCCCACCCCAGTCTGGGATAGAATCCCCTGAGCTAGCTGGGGGGAGGAAGATCCCTGGGCCCCTCAGGAAGCCGCTCCTCCTGCAGCTTCTCCAGTGCCCAGGCCTGGAAGAACCTTGGTGGGGAYGGACATGGTGGGGATCGCCTTTGGGGGGAAAAGGTGACATGGTCTTAAACTGGTAGATTGGATCTTACTCTCATTTTTCAAAAGTAATAATAATAATACTCTCCCCCACTTCCCTCACTGGAGTCTCCTGAAGACAAACAGCACCTGGTTAGGGAAACACAATGTGCAGACATGTGCAGGGCTGMGTCAGGGCAACTCTCAGGAACAAAGCCCTTGCTGCTTGCAACTTCATCCTGAAGAGTTGTTTTAACTAATTACCATTTTTATTTATTTATTTTTGGTACCTGGGATTGCACTCAGAGTCACTCAACSACTGAGCTACACCTCTAGCCCARCCCTATTTTGTATTTTATCTAGAGACGGGTCTCACTGAGTTGCTTAGCACCTCACTTTTGCTGAGGCTGGCAGGGAATTCACYATCCTCCTGCCTCAGCCTCCAGAAGTGCTGGGATTACAGGCGTGCACYATGGTGCCTGGCAAATTGTATTTTTTTTATCAGAAAATAAAGCAAATGCTTCATGTGAGCAGGTCACTTGAATCATACTCTTAAAATGTTTCTCCCTCTTTAGAATGGAAATTRTTTCTATGTATTTATCAATAACAAGAAAAATAATTAGAAAGAAGTAAGATTACAATCAAAAGATGARTTTCCAGCCTGTTCTTCAAAGACGGAAAATGACATGTGTGGGCAGGTCGGATGAGGGGTCAATTCTTCCCTCGCCCACATGTGCACCTAGATAGGGCCTCAGCAGCCACCGTGTGCACACATGAAAATGCTTTTGCACAAACACAAGAAGTAAGTTCATTAGTATTAAAATAGCACCACTGTCTGAGCTCACTCCCTTCAAAATTTTAGGTTCTGAAAAACATAACCTCAGTAATATTTGCAGCTTTCACCTATTTGGGATACTGGGGTATATAATTCTTTTTTTTTTAAGCGTGTATAATTCTTGATCCTTATTTGGAATAAAGAAAAGATTTAGAAAGATCAAGTGCCTTGTCCAGGTTGGCACGTATTGTTACTGGTAGGATGAAGGGAGAGAAAGAGAGGGGACACAGCAGGTGGGGTGGGCACTCGAGGAGATCAGAGCAAGCTCCTTACCTGRCCGATGTGACAAGTGCAGGTAGGGTCTTGCAAGGCCTGCAGAGTTCCTGGAGCAATCCCCTTCCTCTCCTAGGCAGCCTCTCTCATTGTTTTCTTGTCAATTCATAAAAACACAAGAGCAGTAAGAGATGAAAACTGGCTCACAAAGTCTTACTACCAGAGAGAGAAGAATCGTGTTAAAAAAAAAAAAAAAAAGTGATATATGGGTGTGACCACTGGAAGAGAACACTTAAAAAAAAAAAAAAAAAAAGTTTCATTTCCTTTCTCCACCACATCTCTGCAAGGCTTTTCTCCAAACAGGTTCTCTGCAGAATTAAGCCAGGAGACAATGTGCCTCTCCCAGGATTACCTTTTTTTTTTTTTTTTTTTTTTCAAGTACTGGGGATTGAACTCAAGGCCTTGTGCATGCTAGGCAAGTGCTGTCCCACGAGCTACATCCCCAGTCCTTAGTATTTTATTTTGAGACAGAGTGTCACTGAGTTGTCCTGGCTGGCCCCAAACTTGCAATGCCTCCACCTTGGCCTGCTGAGTTTGTTTCTTACATGAAATTCTGGTTGGCAGAAAAGTTTCGACCCCAGGCAGCTCTTCAAGTAGCCTACATGAGGGTTAGACACTTAGCTTGAGACATTCTATGGCTCCCTCTTATTTCTCTGCCAMATGTCCTGCCCTCAGTTTACCCCCACTACAAGGCTCAGTGGAGTTCCCTGCCCGGGCAGACTCCATTTCCACAAGCACCAGGGAGATAACCAATCCCATCCATGATGTGCTAAGCAAAGTGACAGGCACCCAACCAGAGTGGCTGATACCACTGTCTTTGTACACTGTCTGCTGGGAGCTCTGTGTGTGGGCTGAGCTGAGGGACCTCTGGAGACTTTCTCAGGGGATTAGGGCAGAGCTTGACCAGTTAGATACCTGCATGTTTGAGTTCAGATTAATTTTTTCACAAACACACAAAAAAACTATAAGCAGGAAAATGGGATACACTTAACTCTTGGATCCCAGCTCAGTTCAGAGAGGAGGGCAGTTATAATGCAGATAACACACAAAACACATTTTGCAAAGAAAGCCAGGCTGGACTTCCTGGCCTTCCATATCAGATGGTTATTTAAACTTCTCAGTTAATAGCTATTTCACAGAATGAGCTGGATGCACACCCACCTGAGAGCAGAAAGAAAGTCAGGCATTTAACCTGCAAAAGATGTTATCTTCTTGCTATTTAAAATGCTCTTATTTTTGCCAGTGTGGTGGGGTGAGGGGAACAGAAGGCCAAAGATGATCTCTGCTAAAACAAAAACAATGATTTTGGTAGACATTTATTAGCTCTAGACAGGCTTGTCATGAATGATTTTATTCCTAAGGCCAACTCATTAGGCCTTCTTAGCATGTATTTTATGAATATTGATATACAAGAARGGGACGTTGCTCAAAGGTGTCAAAACCACAGTGATTAAGTGATTAAGCCTCCATGGTGGAGGGAAATGTGGAGTTTTACCCACCTTATGAAATGTAGGCTAGTAATCCCGAGTCCARAAAACAGGGATCTGGATCCACTACTTCCCATGCAGTAGAGAAAATGCAAATTGACCGTGGAACAAAGAATCTGGATTCCACCTTCAGTYCTCGCCTTCAATGCTCTCTGGTCTGAGATGGCATGGCCATCCATTTAGGTCAATTGAGTGCCTTTCTTCTAATCTGCTTTTCATAAGCTTRGTTGATTTTTTACATTTAGTTATTTATATTTTTCTTGTTGATTGGAGAAAGCCCTGTGCATTAAAGATACAAATTATCTMTACCATTACACACATGTATACCCTTTCTCTGCATCCTTTCCTTTCCCTATTCAGAGTTCCATGGCTATTTGGGGTTCTTCTTTTTCATTCGGTGTTAATTGGTGGAATTCTAATTCTGGCCATCAACTGGTCTTACAACAAAGGATTGTGTGATTGCTGGTGAAAGAACTGTCAGCAAAATAACCAAAGGGGTAAATWATCCTTTTCTCCTACAGCTACAGAGAAAAACAGCAAATATTATTCCTACRAGATCTGTGAAATATCTAGCATTCAAAAGTCAAAGCTCTGTCCTGTGAAAATAACTCTGCCTATCTAAAAGTCTATAGATTACGATTGTTTTGCACTTCATGATATGTTTTCTAATAATGAGACACAAATCTAACTCTGGTCAYCCTTAGCAGGTCTAAATACTTATAAGATTTCTTGGACTTTTGAGATTTTAATATTATGATCTTATAATACAAGATTTGCAGAGAGATTTGCTGCTGTGTCCCTCTTCTACCACAGACATACCTGTAAAAAATAATACAAAATASTCAAAGGACTTGATAATCTATTTAAGTTCATAATATACTAAGTAAAATAGAACGGTCAACTATTGTAAAATGTCTTTGCAAATACCGCCCCCTGCTGTTTTGCTCATAAATGTTATGTTTTTGTTTTTTCCCCCTCAGTCTGGAAATTTTAATACATGTTTTCTTTAGTGTTTCTGTTGTTCTTAGAAATCCCTCCTTTTCCACATCTTATTTAAAAAAAAAATATATTACTATGTCCAGACAAAAATCTATACATGAATGCTTATAGAAGCTTTATTCATTACTGCAAAACCAATTGAAAGACCTTTGAATAGGTAAACAGAAAAGCTGTGGTCCATCCACACAACGGAACCATGTTCAATGCTACAAAGAAATGAGCTAATGAATCATGACAAACAGAGAGGAATTTAAATGCATRTTGCTAAGTGAAAGACACTAATCCAAAAGGGCTCCGTTCTGTGTGATTCCAGTTTATGACGTTCTAGAGAAGGTGATGCTATGGAAATAGTAAAATGGTCAGTGATTGCCAAGGGTTCTGGGAAGGGAAGGAGAAATGAACAGATAGAKCAAAGGTCATTTTTAGGGCAGTGAAATTATTGGGGATGATATTGTAATGGTGGGTACTGTCACTATACTATGTCAGAACCCATAGAATGTACATTACCAACAGTGACCCCTAATGTCAACTATGGGCTCTGATTAGTGATAGGTCAATA